CACTCACATACTCTGCACAATAACACTGGAAGAATATATCAATTAGTGGTTCATTGACACTATTACTATATCGTAAAAATAATACATAAACAGAGGTTATACAAAATGGTAGCCTCAACTTTCATGCTAAACTAGATAAAGTTTTATTCATTTATATAGTATCATTATATCATTACAAGATATGATTACTTGTTGATCATTTCATCTTCATCAAACATGGAGCATAGAATGTATGCAGTGTGGCTCCACCATCACCCAATGAAATGAGACGCATCCCACAATTCCTAGCTGTAAGTGCATGCTATAAGCGGTTCAAGGCCCATGTAGTATAGTGATGTGCAAACTGTGGGCTCCATTCTTATTTTCTTTGGAATAGTACTACAGAAATAATTAGTAAGAAGGTCTGAAAATATGAAGGGGGAAATGCATCAAGGCAAAACCAATGATATTTTGGGTGCAAAGTACTAAATGCTGAGAGACAGTTTATTGGTTTCCATGGTAACTGCTCAGTAATCAGCTCTTTGCCCCTAGAATAGCACCGGTTTTTGCCTTGAAAAACGTCCCCCATGTGAAATAACTTTTCAGCTATACAGTTCCTAACAATAATATGCAGCTGAAAAGTTAATTCCTTGAAAAGTAAAATTACCCATCCCTAGGAAGCACACTGAAAGGGCACATAAGAAGTTAGTAGCGTACAAATATAACCAGTAATGAAATGAGGGTAAACAACACCTAGAGCAGGAGTTTTTTGGCACCCCCGGTGGCTGTTGTTAAATGAGTCCCTCTAATGCACACCCATTTTCCAAGTCTGTCTTTTAAGTTTGTTCCATACCTTTCTACTAAATGCTGGCAGTGCTTCATGGAGAATGGTGGTTAGCCTTGAGAACATTGATGACTAACCATAGCACTACTGAAATGTATGGGCCATGTTTCTCTCTATTATAATAGTGGGAAATTCATGATTGTTTTCTATAAACTTCTATTTCACCAGCATCTAGGGGAACATTGTGGTAGACATGTGCACCAGTGAAATTTCCATTTTGTATGAATGATTTCGTACTAAATAAAAATTGAATTCGTCAATCCTGAATTTTATCCGCAAACCATTCGTTTTCGAATGAAATTCGTAAAAAAATTATTATTTTTTGTCCATTAGGACAAAAACAGCACTGTGCATGCGCCAAAAAAAACAACCATGTAGGGAACCGGGAGAAGCTGACCCCCATACTAATAAAAGGGTATGCATGCTGCGAGTATGTTCCCTAAACAGCTGCTCGCTGTCATTTAACACTAAATATAAATCAGTATGGGGGTCACTATGACCCCCACATTGATAAAAGGGCATGCTGTAAGTAGGGGCATGTTGTCTAAACAAATTTAAAAGTACCAGTGACTGGGCAGCTATTGCTATTGCTGCCCAGTCACTAGTGCAATAAGTGGGGACCTGGCACATGTTAAATCCTGCCGCATGTTCCTACCTGTGCCAGGTCCCCCTATATAGTAGGGGGATGTCGCCTAAAACCATTTAAAACTGGATATAAAAATCTGTATTTTATATAGAAGTGATAGAGAGCTACGGTAAGAATACATGTAACCAAAGTAATAGCAAAAACTACAACAATGTTGCAATATGAAAAAGTAGCTATTTAGATCTAAATAGCTACTTTTTACATGTACTCTTACCGTAACTCTAAGACTTATATATAGGATACATTTATATATAGTTTTAAATGACAGCAAGCAGCCAGTGATTGGTTGCTTTTCAAATTAAAAGTAACCAATCACAGTGTTATGAGTCAAATAACACAGCATGGGAAAATTCCAAAGAACTTTCTCACGCTTTGTAAAATATCATAGAGCACTCTGGTTGGATTTCAAGCCAACCAATCAGAGTGCTGTGACAGGTAAATGTAGAGACTTACCTGTCAGTCTCTTCATTTACCTGTCAGAGCACTCTGATTGAT